GGTCTTGCAACAAAGAGATCATCAATGAATGCGAAAACGAAATCCAGTCCATGAAGTACTTCGTGTATGAATCTTTGAAAGGTTTGACCAGCGTTCTTCAGTCCTGGGGTCATTCTTGGAAATTCAAATAATCCCATTGGGGTAATTATTGCTGTCTTCTCTATGTCTTCATCGTGTACTTTTATTTGTTGGTAAGCTCGGTTGAGATCGATGGTGGAGAATATAGTCTTGTCTAACAGTTGATGAGTGAAATCCTTGACTCGCGGTATTGGGTAGCGGTCAGGAGTGGTAATAGAATTCAGTTTTCTGTAATCTCCACAAACTCGTAATTCTCCATTCTTCTTCGGTACAACGTGAAGTGGTGATGACCAAGGGCTTTTGCTTGAACGGCATATTCCTTGCTCGATCATGTTTTCGAATTCCTTTCGAACTTGCTCGTATCGGTGAGGTGCGATTGGACGTGCACGGCAATGAAGTGGTGGTCCATTGGTTTTGATGAAATGTTCAACGTCGTGCTTCGGTGTTAATTTCCTTGAAGTTAGTCTTGTGATTCCAGGATATTCTTCAAGGATCTTGTGATACGATTGTTGAACATCTATGCTTCTTATTGTGGGCAAATTGGTTGCTTGTACGAAGGACTGAGATGCAAGATTGGTTTTCCCGTCGATGATTCTTCTATTTTTAATGTCGACGATCAACTGGTGATGTTGAAGAAAATCAGCACCGATGATTGGTTTGCTGACTTTAGCGACGATAAATCTCCACTTGAATGGTCGGCGTAGGTTTAAATCTAGTTCCATTGTTTTTTCTCCATATGTAGGAATCACCGTATTGTTTGCTGCGTAGAGTTGAAAATCCAGTGGCTTCATATTCTGTCTTTGTGTCGGCGGTAAAACTGAGATATTTGCTCCCTTGTCGATAAGGAAGGTAGGCTTGCTTTTTTATCGTTGACGAAAAGACGGTAGGACTTTTCTGTTACGCCGGATCCCGTCGCATCAAGCGTATTAGTTACTTTTCCGACTTCATATTTTCATTTTTGAATGTACACGGCGTTGTGCATTTTCTTGCCTCGACCCCGAAACGTCGATGATAGTAGCAGTAAGGGGATCTTGTTCTTGAGCTTGATCGACTTCTACTTGCAGAGCGGTTGCGACGAAAAAGTGATCTTCGGTATTGCTGATTGCGCTGGTTGTACTGTTGGTAACAGGTTTGATGCTGGGAAGCTTTGAGCGCAGCGACTTCGAATGATAACTTCCAAATTTCTTCGAGAAGAAACTGGGTATTTGTGACTTGTTCCTTGGCCGGGTTTGATGTATATGCGTCGGATTTCTTCGCTTCTCGCTCCATAATGACGTCTTGATTACACAGATTTTATATACTGAAGTCTTCCTTGATATTTATAAAATAAATAAATAAATAAAATAAAATAATTTATTTTTCTTCACCCCTGATCAGACTGGAGGTCGATAGTGCAGTCCAGATGTCGACGAATTTGCAAGTGCCAGGGAATGCTTTGTAGTCTGCGGTGAGTCGAGAAGAAGGCAAGTAATCTGCGTGAGTGCCGTGAAGCAGAGGCGAGCAGTAAGGCTTAGAGCCGTGCCGAACACTGTAGCGCAGAGAGTAGCTTGAAGGAACAGGAAGCATTATTATTCCAGTGCTGCGATGAACCTTTGCAAAGCTAGATGGCTTGCAGAGTGTGAAGACTGCAGACAATATCTGCTCGGGAGCGAATGAATGGGGTACTTGAGGATGATGACGAAGGTTTTTGAAGTTGTAGTTTCCGAAGGTTGTTGGTTTCGTGTTCATATCACGTCGGGGTCACTAATGTAATAGTGGTGTATGGTGTCCACTATTAACAGACTCCGAGTGATCTAGGAGCGGAGAAATAAAACTATCTTTCTGATATGCCTTACAGGCGAATGGAGTATGGAGTATGTTTATTTCAGCTAACCCTGCCTATATTTATATGTCCGGCTACGTCCTTAGTTTACCAATAGTAAAATATTTTATTTACTTAGTCAATTACAATACATACATTTTGACCAATAAAGATTAATAAAAATATTCTGTACAACTATTATGTGTCCCGCTCCATTTGCCGGCGTAAGACTCGTGGATCGCTTCTCGTAGCTGCGTTGCTGGACGAAGCTATAAAAGTGATGCAGACCGGCGCGCGTGCGTAATCGGCGAGAGGCGGCGGCGTGGGACACATCTCCGAAGAAGAAGCGAAGCTGCGACGTTGAAGAAACGGCTCGAAAATGGTCGACGGATGCGTGAAGACGATGCGGTGCTGATGATATTTGTGGCTGCTTCTTGTTTCTATATTAGAACGTTAAATATATATGCGTCAAATTATCTAGCATCGATATGCAGCCCGCAGTATCTCAGTAGACGGGGGTAATTAGGAAATAATGTTTTCTTCAGACATTCACCTTTTTCGTTATGGCAGCAGCAGGGTACATTATTTATTACGGTTTAGGGTTGATTAGCCTGGCTGCTACACACCTTACATATAGAGGGGACCAGCTCTGATCAACTGCTCAGAGTCGATAACTATGCTGGTTATTGCTCTTTGAAGGAAGCTCAAAGACGTTCAGCGAGTTACGTAGAGTGCTCAGAGTTTCTCTGTGCGATACATTTCGTACTGAGGATATGGATATCCTAGAGTAGTACTAGAAAAACTGACATAGCCCAACGGATCAAAAAGCTGAAGTACCGAAAGACCAGCTTGAAGGACTGAAAAATAGGTTATTGAGTGGTAGCCTCGTACCGATAAAATAATGTAGGGCAGGTCTCCACTAGATGGAATGGCGATATGGTAAAAGATACAGGATGTCGATGGATGCATGTGGCTCACGACCGTACTTTGTGGCATTCCTTGGAGGAGTATACTCGTATTCAGTAGGGGACTTGTGATGGGCTGTAATGATGATGATTATTGTCTACAGCAGTACTGTTGTTTAGTGGCTGGAATACTGAGACTATTTATGATTCGTTGAAGAAGAAAGTGATTGAGCTACAGGGCAGATTTCACATTTTCTTCTGCTGACTACAGACTTCGTCTCATTTTTCAAACGATTTTGGGACAAAACAAGCAGCCACGATGCATTAATGCGCGTTTGTGGACTACAGAAGTCTTGGAAAATTTATATTTCAAGTCGTGTTTTCGGAGGCTGATATGTTTTTATGTATAAATGTTATGAATTTTCTTTCACCTTCTTCCAGGCGTCCAATTAATCAGAAATTTTGCAGACGTATTAGAAACCGATTGTTACGGCCTGCAGCTGCCTAGCTGATGGTAGTATCCACCTAGGCCCATAGTAGGAAGACCCTACAGGCAGATACAGATCGGGCTTTTGGCCAAAGTGGAAATTTCTAATAGAAATAAACGAGGGGAAAGATCACTATGATAAAGGCACTCACCTGCTCCAGGAGCGGAGACGGTTCTCCAAGACCGGCCCGGCTGATGACAGTGTCGTGAGTGTATGTGTGACTGTATGTACGTGTATGTTGACGTGGCCTGATCTGGATGACGCAATGCCGTCCGGGAGAAGGTATGCGCTGGTATCCTCGGAACTTTCCCCCTCTGGAGGCACTCTTCCTGGTTTGTCACGAAATGGGACAGCTACACGTAGTACTTCAGAGGTAAATCACTATTATAGTTGCACAATTGATTTAACAGAGTTAGTAAGTCCTAATGAACGATACGGGTTCTCACAACGATTTACGCGGGTTGATACTTTCGTAACAAGTTAGGCGCGGAAAACAGACGTCAGTATAGCTCGCAAAGAATTCTACAATGACTCTCGAGAAGTCCGTCCGATCCCGCCGCGTAATGCGGCCGGGGGAGGGGAAGGTGACCTCGATATCGAGGCTAAGCGCGCACGTTAAAGAATACGTTTGGAAGGTATAATATTCTTGCCTAAACAAACCCCCGCCCCGGACATAAGGCATTAGGTCCGCGAGTAGATTGGCAAACGGGACAAGGTCGCGACGGCACGTTGCAAGACCGAATCTCCGACCAAAACCTCGGCCACTCTAGGCACCCCATCCGCTCCATACGACAACTTAACAATGCGCCCACGGCGCCAATACAGAGGTAGAGCGTTTGATTCTTTAACCAAGACGAGGTCTCCCACCCGAGGAGGCTCCGTCTTGTCAGACCACTTAACGCGCTGCTGCAAAAGATGTAGGTACTCCAGAGACCATCGGTGCCAAAAGCTTTGAGCCATCTGTTGCAGCAGGGCAAACCTGCTAAGCCGTGAAGCGCTCGTTTCCCTGAAGGGGTACTCGGGCAGAGCGTTAAGAGGCTGGCCAATCAGGAAGTGTCCCGGGGTTAGAACTTCCAAATCATTCGGGTCGGAGGAGAGGGGACAGAGGGGCCGAGAGTTGAGTACCGCCTCAATTTTACAGAATACAGTGGCGAGCTCCTCAAATGTCAAAATAGCTTCACCAATAACGCGACGGAGATGCGTTTTTGCCACTTTAACCACCGCCTCGAAAATACCGCCTCAGTGGGGACACGCCGGAGGGTCGAATTTCCACTGGATGCCCCTTTTTGACATAGCATTGCCTAAATAAGTCCGGTGGCTAGACAGAAACTCGACGACCTCCTTTAGATACCTATCCGTGCCCTTATAATTCGTTCCGCAATCCGACCGGATCAAGTCCGGCAACCCGCGCCACGATACGAAACGGCCAAGCGTGGCCAAGAAGCCTTCCGTGCTGAGGGCGCTTACAAGTTCCAAGTGAACGGCTTTAGTGGAGAGGCACATGAAGACGCAAAGATAGGCCTTATGCGAACTAGCGTTACGAAGGTTAGAGGACTTGACGAGGAAGGGGCCAGCAAAGTCAGTTCCGACTCCAGCAAATGGTCGGATGGCCCTGACGCGGTCGGGCGGCAAGTCACCCATGAGGGGCTGCGATATGGTGGCCTTCAGTTTATAACAGGATATGCACTTAAAAATGACGCTCCGGATGATACGTCGGCCAGCCAAAATTCAAAACTCCCGCTGTAAAATAGCCGAAAGAGCGTTGCACCCAGCGTGGGCATTCTTAACATGGTGGTGGGCTACCAGCAACCGGACCAGGGCGCCGTCCTTAGGGAGCAGCAACGGGTGTCGAGCCCCGTACGGCAGTTGAGAATTTTTTAAACATCCGCCAACGCGCAGCATCCCCGCGTTATCAAGAAAGAGGTTCAGGCGGGCCAGGACGCCCTTGATAACGGAGCCACGCTTTAAGTTTTCAATGACGGGCTCAAATTTCTCCGTTTGGACCATACAGTTCCAGTGCATCAAAGCTTCACGACGCTCGCTAGGGGACAAAACGCTATCAGAGAGTCGGTTGGATAGGTATCTCGAATTGAGGACAAAGCGGCGCAACCAAGCAGTAACTCCCAAGAGCTTATCGAAGGAGCTGTACCGTTCCAGAAGAGAGAGATCCCGAGTGGGCTTATCCTTGCCCACTCCTACTCGGGCTCGTAGGCCCGGCAATTCGGTAGGTTCGGAGTAATTGCCCGGGGGCCAGAATGACTGAGACCCAGATAACCAACCGGGACTCCACCACAGTGGGTGGTCAACCAGCGATGGGGCCTCACAGCCGCGAGAAGCGCAGTCCGCGGGATTCAACTCCCATTGGACATGTCGCCAGTTGAGAGAAGTCTCAGAACTCTGGATTTGAGACACGCGGTTCGCCACAAAGACCTCAAGATTGTGAGGTGCAGCTCGGAGCCAACAAAGTACTATCTCACTGTCCGACCATGCGTAGACGCCCGTAATGTCGATTACAGGCTTCAAGGAAGAGTGAACGTGGTTGAGGAGTCGCGTGTGGAGAGCGGCACCGGCAGTTCCAATTTAGGGATAGTTAAGCGGGACCTAATGGGAGCAACCTTGCTTTTAGCGAGTACGAGATGGACGGCAGTATGACCAGAGGAACTCACCGTCCGCAAATATACGGCAGCAGCATAGCCCTTCTCAGAGGCGTCGCAAAACCCATGTAAGGTAGCCCGACATTTCCCGTGGGGAAGGAAGCACCTTGGCATGGAAACCCGGTTGATATCCGGAAGGGAGGAGAGCATGGAGAGCCACTCTCGCATGAGGGCTCCGCCAATCGGCTCGTCCCAACCCAACCCGGACATCCAGAGCTTTTGAAGAAAGCACTTAGCTAAAAAGATGACCGAGTTGATCCACCCATTAGAGTCGAAGGTGCGGGCTACGGTGGACAGCACGAAGCGTTTGGTCCATGCTTTGGGCGGTGGGTCAAGTTTTACTCTATACGTAAAGGTGTCCTGAACAGGCTGATATTGAATGCCCAGCACAGTCAACAAATTAGGATTCTCAGGGTGCTCGAACAGATGAGGGTCTTGTTGATCCTCTCCTGGGAGGTCCTTCAAAATATGAGGGGAGTTCGACAACCACTTGCGCAACTCATAGCCTCCGGACTTCAGGATGGCAATTAATTCGTCTCGCAAGATCAGAGCCTCCTCGACGGTGGAAGCGCCCGTACAAATGTCGTCCATGTAGACCGAAGTCTCCAAAATAGAAGCTCCCCGAGCGTATCTCAGGCGCTCTCTCTCAGCGAATTCAAGGAGGGTTCGCATGGCGATATACGGGCTGGACCGGAGTCCATATGTGGTGGTGTTCAACTCAAACACCTGTATAGGATCGCTGGGCTTCTCGCAACACAATATCAGCTGATATCGACGTTCGTCACGATGGACTACTGATTGGCGAAACATCATCCGAATGTCCGCTACAAAAACCACTTGGTGTCGACAGAATGGGGTCAAGGTGTCGGATATGCCCTTGATCAGTTTAGGACCCGAGTGAAGACACTGGTTCAGAGACACACCATTTGATGTGGGGGCGGAACCGTCAAAAACTACCCGAATCTTACTCTCAGGGGTCCTCAAGACCGCATGGTGAGGGAGGAAGTAGTGCTCCTGTGAACGCCATTCGAAGTTGGACAGTGACATGTGACCCAGCTCCTGATACTCGCGCATGAACTCGACATATTTGTCGCGAAAGGCTGGGTCGCGCCGCATGCGGTGCTCCATGGAAAGCAACCTCTTCTCGGCCAGAGCACGAGATTGACCCAAAGAGGGACGTGCGTCCAGAAAGGGTAAGCGAGTGACGAAACGACCGTCAACCCTCCGGTATTGTTCTGGTAGAACAACTCACACTCACGGTCCAGAGGGTCGACTCGAGCTGCATGTGGTGGTTCCTCAATTTCCCAGAACCGCTGGACGGCGTCCGATAGGGACACGCCCACGACGGAGAGCGGGTCGGCCGTCGGAGGGGGAGGAGACCACATAACCGGTCCAAAGAAGCTGTGCCCAAATATCGTGGAAATGGCTGACAGGCCATCGGGCTGCAGAGCTCGTATCTCACCTAACAAGAGGTCACCCAGCGTGTCGGCCCCCAGTAACAAATCTATAGGCCCAGGTTGGGCCCACCGAGGGTCTGCCGGTCTCAAAGCCGACGCACAGCGCACAGCGCTGTCATTTATACGAACGTTAGGGAGAAACCCTACAATGTCGTCGAGGACATTTACCTTGACTAAAATACGAAGGTGTTCGCTGTCAGGGCTGAACACCAACTCAGCTTGTCCCCTAGGAGCAGGAGGCTCGGCACCTCCGATACCTACCATCGGACGTGATTCAGAGCTCCAGGGGAGCCCCAGTCTTCCCACCAACCGAGTAGAGGCCACACTACGTTGGGAACCCGAATCCAATAGAGCTCGACCCGTAAAGCGGTCGCCGCTCGGGTTGTAAACCTTCACTGAGGCCGTCGGCAATAGAACAGTTTGACAGGTGGACTGCTGACGACTTATAGGCTCAGTGGAGGCGGCCATGGCGGGAGCTAGGGCGGCAGCCTCCTATCTGGAGCTGCCTCTGTTGGACCAGCACCCGAACCGGGGGCCCCGAGAGCGGCACTCCGACGGCGTCTCGATGACCCTTGACTGGAATTCCCCGAACGGGCCGACCTGGGAAAACTCGGGGATCCTCGGCTCCAAGGCCCGGGGCCGATACGCAGTCTCCGGAACCCGGTAGTACCAGCACCGACCAAAGGGGGGCGGGCGGCGTTCCAGTCGCGGCCACTCAGCCAACGGAGGTGAGAACGGTCTAGCTGACCGCTGAGTGGCTGCGAATCCACTATCAACCCGCTGAGGGGGGTGAAGACCCCCTCGCCCCTGGGGGAACGACTCCCAGACCGATCGGGGGAGGGACTCCCCTCAGAACGAGGGGCGCTGTGGTCCACCGGTGAGCGCCGAGCGTCGCCCGACAGTGGGCGTGGCTGGGCGCCCCCGCCCGTGGGAGTCGGGGGGCTGGCAGGGCCCTGAGAGGACGAGCCGCGCGCACCCAGGCACAATATGACGTGGTGGTTGCCCTGGCAGTGCGTGCAGGGCCGCTGGTGCGGGCAGTCTCGTTGTAAATGCCTCTCCAGGCACGAGAAGCACCAGCGGCGCTCCCTGGCGATGGTTCGCCTCGCCATAGCCGGCTTGCGCAACAACTTCGGGCACGACGCCGCCCGGTGGTCGGATGCTCGACAATAGGAGCAGGGAGGCGCATCCCGGGCCGCTAGGCCACTATAGGAGGGTACTGGGGGGCGCCCTCCCGCGGGGGCTCCGCTCGGCCTTAGGGGGGTGGGTGCCGCCTTGGCCGGCTGATTCCGCCTCTGCCTGGGCACCGCTCGGGAGGCGGCCGGGGGGCCCTCGACGGCGCCTGCTGCGTTCTCCAGCTGCCTACACTGCTCCTCCAGGAACCGCAGCAGGTCCCTAAAGGGGGGCATGTACGAGGCGCCATCCCCTCCGTACCTCTCCTCAAAATGGAGCCGAAGGTCGAGGGGCAGGCGGGACAGCACTATATGAAGGAGCAGAAAAGACCACTCGTCCACAGGTAAATCCAGCCGCCGCAACGAGTTGCACGCTACGACGACTGGATTCACTATGTCTTCACGTAGTCTAGTCCGGTCCTTCAGCAGCGGGAGGTTCAGCAGCCTCCGAACATGATCGTCCGCAATCCGCCGGACGTTGGCGTACCTTCCAGCGAGGAGGTCCCTGGTGTTTTGGTAGACGTCGTCCGACAACTTAAGGTGGCCGACGACGCCCAGGGCCTCCCCCTCCAGTGATGCCAGGAGGTACCCCATTTTTTGGCAGGGGGTCAAGTCCCTCCGGGCGTCCACCAGGCTGTCAAACATGCCGACGAAGGTCAGCCATTCCGAGAGGACCCCGGAGAACCTTGGCAGGTCCAGCGTGGGGAGTCGTCCTTGCAGCTCTGGCTGAGTAGGCGGCCTCCGCGGTGACTCGAGAAGGCTACTCAGCCGAGCTTCGCGCTCCCTCTCCGCGTCCTTGGCCCCTGCCTCGATCAGGTCATCCGTTAGCGCGAGGAACTGCTCGTAGTCCGCGCGGCAGGAATCCTGGACTCCCTTTTCCACCTCCGAGTCCTCGAGCTCAGAGTAAGCCTCCTCCACGGCAGCCCTTCGAGGATCGACCTGCTCGAGCCTCTTCCTCAGATTATAGACCCTGTCCGGTCGGCCTATCAACGCGTGTGCGCTGGTAGCCCAGCGCAGCTCAGTCCGCAAGCAACGAATTAGTAGCTTATGTGACGGCATCCTTACTAAATACAATAACAAAATAACAGAAATAACGAATACAGTACTACTAATACGATAATATCAATCAGGTTAGATAGAAATTACACAATTATTAAATACAAGTTAATACGAAAAAACACAAATCAAATTAGCACGTAACAACCCTAGTACGATTAACAATTATCCCATTACGTGACAGCCTTATGTATCTAATCAAATACTTCGCCTCAACAATTCTCGCTTGTTACCTACGGGCGTGGCGTTAGTAAACTACCTCCTAACAACAGAGAAAAGGCGAGCCACTATGCAACAAGAAAGAATTATTATTTATATTAATTTTACGTATTACGGCCGGGCGTGATTGTAAACACAATCAGCCACGCTTCTGCTACCAAATGTTACGGCCTGCAGCTGCCTAGCTGATGGTAGTATCCACCTAGGCCCATAGTAGGAAGACCCTACAGGCAGATACAGGTCGGGCTTTTGGCCAAAGTGGAAATTTCTAATAGAAATAAACGAGGGGAAAAATCACTATGATAAAGGCACTCACCTGCTCCAGGAGCGGAGACGGTTCTCCAAGACCGGCCCGGCTGATGACAGTGTCGTGAGTGTATGTGTGATTGTATGTACGTGTATGTTGACGTGGCCTGGTCTGGATGACGCAATGCCGTCCGGGAGAAGGTATGCGCTGGTATCCTCGAAACTTTCCCCCTCTGGAGGCACTCTTCCTGGTTTGTCACGAAATGGGACAGCTACACGTAGTACTTCAGAGATAAATCACTATTATAGTTGCACAATTGATTTAACAGAGTTAGTAAGTCCTAATGAACGATACGGGTTCTCACAACGATTTACGCGGGTTGATACTTTCGTAACAAGTTAGGCGCAGAAAACAGACGTCAGTATAGCTCGCAAAGAATTCTACAATGACTCTCGAGAAGTCCGTCCGATCCCGCCGCGTAATGCGGCCGGGGGAGGGGAAGGTGACCTCGATATCGAGGCTAAGTGCGCACGTTAAAGAATACGTTTCGAAGGTATAATATTCTTGCCTAAACACCGATGACGTAATATATTCATGACTATGTCGTAGTATTCTTACTGGCGTCATGATAGCTAATAACCAATGCGTGATGATAACTTTTTTTTAACTGAAATTTTATTATTTTATATATGAAACATGCAGGTATCCTCGCCAGTCGAGTCAACAAATGGTAAAATTAAAAATGTTGTACAACCCACTTCAATATAAATAAAATCAATGTTAAAAAATACGCATTATTTAGGATAACTCAAAAACTACTGGTCAAATCATGATCAAATTTATGTGGGTCCACATGAGAAGCAACCGCTGTCAAATAAGTAAAAAATAGGGGAGTAGCTCACAATTGGTTTAAATCCTATCTTGATAACCGCTTTCAATATGTAGAAATTGAAAATACCGATTTCGAGACTGGCAAAATTACACATATTAGATCTGATGCAACTGTCATTACTGGTTCTATCCCACAAGGTAGCGTTTTGGGATGCATTTTGTTTCTTGTTTACATAAATAATCTCCCGAACATACTGGACGATCTATGCGTGCTCTTTGCCGATGACATCTCCATCTTAATCTCTTGCACTAATTCCACGCATTTAACAACAAAATTGAACTATACATTAGATAAAATTACTAACTGGCTAGAATTACATAATCTACAACTTAACCTTAATAAAATAAAATTATTCAATTCAAACCCTACCAAAAAACTGCTTTACAAATATCTTATAGCTATAAAAACACAAAAATAGAAACTGTTAACTCTGCTACTTTGTTAGGAATAGACCTGGATACGCATTTGAGTTGGAAACAGCACATACAAAAAATTGTAAAAAAAAATATCCTCTTTTATTTACGCTCTACAATACCTCAAACGTGTGACAGATTTTAAGACTGCCCTTGCGGCTTACTATGCACATGCTCATTCGGTACTCTCCTATGGGATCGTATTGTGGGGAAACTCTTGTGATGTAAACAAATTATTTATATCACAAAAGAAGTGTCTACGAATATTAACGAATTTAGACCAAATGGAATCATGTAAACCTCACTTCATTAAATATAAAATACTAACACTTACATCTATCTACATCCTCGAGTCTTGTAAATTCGTCAGGAAACACCCAAAATTGTACTCACCTATTACAATAACTAAAAGAAATAACAGAAATTTATATAAGCTTAGGATACCCTTCTCCAAACTAAAATTAGTTTCGACTAGCCCCCACGTTATGTCAATAAAGATTTATAACCATTTACCGAATTCTATAAAAATCCTAGAAAACCCTGCGCAATTTAATAAAAAATTAAAAACATTCCTTATTAATAAATGTTATTATACTTTGAAAGAATTTTTTGACGATAAATAATGACAAAGAAAGAATACTTCGACTATATTATATTTCTAAT